CCTTGATCTTCACTGGCTCCAGTTTTCTCACTGAGGTAGCTACTTTTAGGGTGTTCACTTTCACCAGATTTGGAAATTAAACTACTACTTCCTTGATCTTCACTGACTCCAGTTCTCTCATTGAGGTAGATACTTTCAGGGTGTTGACTTTCACCAGTTTTGGTAATTAACCTGCTACTGGCTTGATCTTCACTGGCTCCAGTTCTCTCAATGAGGTAGCTACTTTCAGGGTGTTCACTTTCACCAGTTTTGGCAATTAAACTGCTACTGCCTTGATCCTAACTGTTTCAAGTTCTCTCAGTGAGTTAACTGTCTTGGTCTTCACTTATCCCAGTTTTATTCAGTAAGATACCTACTTTAACGGTCTTCACTTTCACTTGGTTTTTTATTGGATTGCTACTCTCTGGGCCTGGCTGACTGACTGACTGAGTTTAGTTTTATGCCGCTTTTAGCAATATTCCAGCAATATCACGGCGGGGGACACCAGAAATGGGCTTAACACATTGTGCCCATGTGGGGAATCGAACCCGGGCCTTCGGCGTGCTCTGGGCCTGGACTTACCAGAGTTGTACTGAGCTGAGATGTTTACTGCCCTAACCTTCTCTCGACCCTAACCGCCAACACAGCAAGTCAACCGCCTAAGCCGCGGTGACTGACTCTGAGGGTGTCGGTTCGAATCCCGGATCAACCCAACAAGGTACTAATATCTGTACTATACTGACTGACTGACTGACTGAGTTTGGTTTTACGCCGCTTTTAGCAATATTTCAGCAATATCACGGCGGGGGACACCAGAAATGGGCTTCATTCATTGTACCCAAGTGGGGATTCGAACCCGGGTCTTCGGCGTGACGAGCCAACGCTTTAACCACTAGACTACCCCACCGCCCCTACTATACTGAGAAAGTGTAATCCCCAATATAGCATATGTTACAGGTGACATGTGTTGTATCGAAATACAATCGTATTCTTGGCTGTGAGGCCGAACTACTGAATAAATATATCTCTATATCTCTAAAGCTACACCATACTGTTTTTAACAAAACATTTAATTCATAGATATCGTTCGTCATACAGCAGAATCTTGTACACGGCAGACATAGTTCAGAGTTTATACTCGTTTCAAGTCTTAACAAAATCAGTTTATCCCCTCAGGTGTGTCTGGATTTCTGATCATTGTCCAGGTGTTTTACTGGAGTGATCGGTACTGCCAGAGCAGGATGTGCTTACCCTTTTCAAGAACATACGGAATCATTAGCGCCATGAGCGGGTATTAGTACCTGGGTGTAGCGCTATATAAAAACCCACATTATTATTATTATTATGTTTTACAGATTAAAGATTGTATGCAGCAGAGAGGGTTCGAGTGATCCTGGCACAGTCAGGCTGGTAAGGCTCATCATCAGCTCAGGGTTCTTGCCCCGTCTACACGCAGCCCAGACAGCGAATGGGACTTCTCCCAGGAAATGCTGCCTAGTCATACCCACCAAGAACTTTCCGGAGAATATGAAGGCTCCCCAACACTGCAGCCTTCTGCATTACCCAGAGTGTCAGAAGGGCTGTACTCCCGGTGGAGAACCCGGGCACTCTCCTGATCTGCGTCAAGAGATCAGGAGGTACCAAACCAAGGGCACCGAGAACAATGGGGAGCCTGACGACAGTGTACTTGGGATGCAAGCGAGACATTTCAAAGGCGAGGTCTGCATATTTATCATGCTTTTCCTTAATCTTGCCAATCACATTGCACCATGGTGTCAAAAGGGACATAAAATTCAATGATATAAATAATTTCATTGGCTTTTTCAAAAAGGACAAGATCGGGTTTGTTGGCAGGAATTCTTCTGAGGCTGTATATGGGCCTATTCCAGAGAAGTTTGAAAGCATCATTTTCCATGACGCCCTGGCCATGTTCAGGGTCGTACCATGGATGGACCTCGAGTCAAAGCCAGAGGCATGTCGGAGACGGTAGTAAAAGCAACGAGCCATGCCATCATGTCGTTTAAGATATGCTGTTTGTGCCAAGGAAGGGCATCCACTGACAAGGTGTTGGACAGTCTCCGTGAATTCATTGCAAAGTCGACATTTCATATTGATATTTTCTTTAAGAATCACATTAAGGCGATTGCGAGTGGGAAGTGACTGGTCCTGAGCAGCAAAAAGAAAGACCAGCCGACTTCATCCAGGCGAAGGAGTCGGTGGGATTGCTATTCTGTTCAACACACTGCATGTACACACGATGCAATGGCTTCTCAGAAAGCTTCTCCACGAAAGACCGACTCTGAGCAGACTTGGTGAAGGACTTCACCTGGTTTACTCCCATCACTGTACCGTCCAGCAGTACATCGCCATCAACAAAATCAACCTGAAATCTCAGATTCTGTCCAACAACCTTGGCACGCTTAAAATAGCTGTGGAATTTCTTGCTTTCATCATGATTCTTCACATGCATCACTAGAGGATCATCCGATAAATAAATATGTGCAAAAGGACACAATAAAATTCTATCATGAAGAGCCTCCACATTAATCAAACCCCGACCTCCAGAACTGATTGGCATGTATAAACGGTTAAGAGAGGAACGAGGATGGTGTGCTCTGTTATCAGACATGATCCTTCTGGTCAGGCGGTCAAGACTCTGGATATCTTGTTTTGTCCAATCAACTACTCCAAAGGAATAGGAGAGGACTGGCACAGCAAAAGTATTGGTAGCTTTGACTTTGTTTCGAGCATTTAGCTCTGAGCTCCAGATTTTCTTTAAGCGAGATTTATACTCGGCCAGAAGTTTGTTTTGAATCTGGGCATTCTGGAGCTTGTCCCGAACTTGCATTCCAAGATAGGTGAAGGACTGATTTTCCACAAGGTGCTCAATAACTCCTCCCCCTTGTAACTTGACCGATCCATCATTAGTTACCTTGCCACGTTTCAAATGAAGAATATTACATTTGTCGAGTCCAAATGTCATGCCAATATCATTAGAAAAGGACTCGACAAGGAGAACCTGTTCTTTCAAATTGGTATCTCCTTTGGCAAGGAGCTCGATGTCATCCATGTAAAGGAGATGAGTAAGCGGTGTTGGGGATCTGTGCTGAGGAGGTCCGGGATGGTAACCCTCCTCTCTGTTGAGCAGAAAGCTCAAAGGATTTAGAGACAAACAAAAAAGCAAAGGACTAAAAGAGTCCCCCTGGAAAATTCCCCTTTTAATTGGAATAGATTCCGAAGTCTGCACCTGCCCTTGCGGGTACATCTCAAGTTGAGTCGACCAGCAACTCATTAAAGATTTGAGTAAATCAAGTAGTCGCTCAGGGAGGTCAATACAAAGAAGAGACTTCAGAATCCATTCGTGAGGAACAGAGTCGCATGCTTTTTTGTAGTCAATCCAGCACATGGAGAGGTTGCGGTGATATGCGTTAGCCTCTTCCAAAATCATTTTCTGTACAAGGAGTTGATCTTTGCACCCCCAACATTCCTTTCTTGCTCCCTTCTGCTCTCTGTAAATGATATCATTGGAAGAGCAGTAAGATGACACGAGGTTTGTCAAACACCCTGTGAATATTTGTATTGTGTATTCAAACATGTGATAGGGCGGAAGTTTTTGGGATCAGTCAAGTCTCCTTTCTTGGGGAGAAGTATTGTGCGACCTTTGCAGAACCATTGAGGAACATCACCTGTGTCCACGAGAGAACTGAAACAGTGTAGTAATGGTGTTTGGACACAGGGGAACAGTTTCCAATACCGATTTCGAATGCCATCAGGCCCTGGGGCTGTATTAGATTTGGTCTTTTTTGTAACACTTTTCAGGCAATCTGGTGAGATGTAACAGACAAACGACCTAGTTACCTTCTCATGCATTGCATGGTCATAATCACGGATCCATGGTGCCTCAAGGTTATAGTTGCCGGGTACAGACCACAACTGTTTCCAGAACTTTTCATTGGTATCCATGGGAGGCCGTTTGTCATGTTCACCATCACCCTTTGTTTTCAGTTGCCTGTAGAAGTGCTTTTCATTGTTTCTAAAAACTTTATTTTGTTAGATGAACTTATTTTTATTTTCCCATTTTTTCTTTCTTTCAGTCCAAACCTTTATTTTGGCCTTAAGGGAATCGACAATTTGGAGAAGTACCCTTTCTTTTGTTGTCTTGTATTGTAATTTTAATTTTCTCAAAAATTGCCTTTTGCCGTTTTGACATTGGACTCCCTGATGATTATTATTATTTTTATTATTATTATCACTTTATGTGATCCATTTGTATAATTGTCACCGCTGTTGACACAGCTGCTTTTCACGTCTGAAGGAGATTGTTTCGGCAGATAATTGCTTCATGTGTATTTACACGTGTTTTTATCGCTTTAGTTTCGACCCCTCGCCCACAACCCGTCATACGTTTTGGTCTCTAGTTGTTGGTGGAACCATAGCATGGACTGGAACCTATGGGGTCAACCAGGCTAGCATACAACGCTTTTGTGCTGTGCCTACACTGAAGAAAGCCCGGATGTAAGTACAGCTATCGTGGGTAGTTAAGATCGAATGTAAGATGTAAAACTCAATTCTTTTAGTATAATCTACTCTCATCCTAGCGAATGGAAAACTCCAAAACTTGTTGATCGTAACTGGTGAGAATATATCCTCGGCATTTTTTGTTTGTTGTATAGATTCATCGGAAAGGATAGTCATATCAATGATGTTTGCATGTCATCGTACCCTGGCGGAGTTGGGCGTTGTCTGACCGAGACTGGTTACATGTATTGCGATGTATAACTGGTGTTCTGTGACCGCGGCGTGAAGCAACAAACGCACAAAACACCTACTATTTGATCCCTCAGTGGCTGGTACCTTGCTGAAAGCAGCGTAAAACTCACTCAAGATGAAGGCCACTCCGCTTCACCGGTGCATCGTTAGGTTTCACTCGTATTATCTGTGTCGATGCAAGAGTGAGTGAGTGAGTTAGGTTTTACGCCGCTTTTGGCAATATTCCAGCCTTATCACGGCGGGGGACACCAGAAATGGGCTTCACACATTGTACCCATGTGGGGAATCGAACACACGCCTTCGGCGTGAGGAGTGAACGCTTTAACCGCTAGGCTACCCCACCGCCCGTGTCGATATAAGTCAACATGCCTGCTAATTCACTTACAGTACTTTCAGTGGCACACTCCTGCATTTACGTGAATTAAAATTAACGTTTCAAGTTTACAACTAAACTAGCCGGTACCAATATGCTACTGCAAGCTTCTCCTCTGGAAGCTTCTCCTCCATATTGAAGTCAAGATGTGACCTGAATGTGCGTACGTATTGTGATACATATTATACTGTGACCTGTTCTCCCCTTCTGTTCAGATCAAACCCGTGAAGATCCGGGTTAAAACTGGTCTTCAGCAACCCGTGCTTGTTGTAAGAGGCGACCAACGGGATCGGGTGGTCAGTGTAGCTGACTTGGTTGACACATGTCATCGTATCCCAGTTACGTGGGGTGGTAGGGGTAGCCTTGTGGTTAAGCCCCAGACAAACTAATCACACTTGTGAGATGCCTTGTAACATCCAGATTGGATTACTGTAATAGCCTTCTATACGGACTCACCAACGGACATCTCACCCCTGTACTCTCATCATTACACTGGCTTCCAATCAAGTTCCGGATAGACTTGAAACTTCTTTGGATTGTGTATAAATGTTTGCAGAATCAAGCTCCTTCATATCACTCTGAACTTCTCACTGTGTACTCCCCTACCAGAACTCTCAGATCTCAAGACCAATGTCTTCTATCCATTCCCAAAGTTCTCCTTTCTTCTTTTGGCAAGAGGTCCTACTCTGTGGAATTCTCTCCCTCTCCACATAAAGCAGTCTCCCACATTGGAAACTTTCAAAATTAAGTTGAAGACTTACTTTCTTTCCAAAGCCTATCCCTAAAATCAATCTTTCTGTCATCAATGTCAATGTATACTTATTTTACTATTTTATCCTCTGTATGCATTGTATGTATGCTTTTATGTAGCGCCTTGAACATGTATCAGTGGGTGGAAAAAAGCGCGCTAAAAATATCCATTATTATTGTTATTATCATTATTATTATCAACAATCTCTACAGATCACTGCTGATGAACGCTGTCGGGGTGCTGCTAATGCTGACCATTCTGTGCCTGGCAGGAATCACAATCTTCGCCTACTATGCCATTAGGGGCTGTGACCCTCTGTCAGCCAAATACATCGGAAACTCCAACCAGGTATGTGGTGGTTAAAGGGTTCAATTCCGGAATTGGTACAAAGCCTGACGTCAACTTCCATTTTCGTGGGTTAGAATTGATCTTAAGTAACCCATGCTTGCCGTAAGAGGCAACCAACGGGTGTTCAGGGTCGCCTACTTGTCATCGTATCCCTGTTGCATAGATCGATGCTCATTCTGTTGATCACTGGGTTGTCTGTCTCAGACTCATTTTTTGCAAACGGCCGCCATTTAGCTGAAATATCACTAAGTGCGGCATAAAACAAACAACAATAAACATCTTTCTAAAATGCAATCGATATGCATAGTGTTGTCCCAGTTAATCATGTACTTTTACAGCAATCGTCATTATGACAATTCCCATGTTTGAATCCCGTTAATCATATCGTGGTTGTTGTGTATTGCGCGACTATAAAAGGCCAAACCAAATTCATTATTTCATTACGGAAATTGATGACGTAAACAAAGTATTGAATGCTACTGACCGAAATATCGCCATTGGACGTTTGGGGGCAGCGGAGTAACAGTCTGCTGTTGCAAGACACTTTAAAGTCCACCACAGCATCATATCTCAATTATGGCAAAGATACACCCGCTTCAATTCGACCCAAGATCGTCGGACCGATTCATCCGGGTGTTTCACCTTCGTCACTGATTTGCTACAGCAGCGGACACTGCAGGACAGGTGCCTGGTCTTCGAAGAATGTCCGACCAAACCATCAGAAATCGTCTGAGAGAAGTGGCAATTCGAGCATATCGACCAAAAGATGGACCTCTCCTGACACGACTACACCGACAACGACGTGTTCAATGGTGCAACAGAGTACAGGCATGGAACTGGGGATCATGCAACGACGGGATGGGAGACAACGTGTCTATCGACGTCCACACGACCTTTGTGCGCTGAACTGCGTTCGATAGGTGGACAAAAGCATCATGGTGTGGGGAGCCATGTCCTACACGGGTAGCTGAGACCTAGTGGTGGTTCAAGGCAATTTTACAGCAAACTGCAACATCGACCAAATCCTATGACCTCACCTCCTTCCACCTTTAACCGCCAGGGGGAGCTGTTCCAACGCGACAACGCTCGACCCCACACAGCTCGTGTAGCAGGTGCCTTTTTTGCCAATCTCTATAGAGATATAATTGATTCGAAACAAAGATGACAATATCTCTATTTCCTGTTTGATCCCAGCTTCTGCCGTACTTCGTGATGGAGGTGCTAGACTACCCCGGGGTGCCCGGATTGTTCATCGCCTGTCTGTTCAGCGGGACGCTAAGGTATGTAGCACTGTATATAGTAGACACTCAGTAATCCAACACACGAATGCTCAATGCTATTTAGAAACTGGTCAAATGTAACATATGTTATATTTGGAAGTACACTTTCTCAGTAAATTACAGCTTCTAGTACATTTTAAAAGTACATATTCTAGTGTGAATATTAGTTTGCCGTGTCAGTACGTGTCAACACATGTTGGCTTTTGTAGCACCCCATCTTCGTGCCCTGATCCACCATTCCACCTATTGTTTGCTTATTGTAGCACCACATCCTTGTGCCCTGATCCACCATTCCACCTATTGTTTCCTTATTGTAGCACCCAATCTTCGTGCCCTGATCCACCATTCCGCCTATTGTTTGCTTATTGTAGCACCCCATCTTCGTGCCTTGATCCACCATTCCACCTATTGTTTGCTTATTGTACAACCACGAGGATTCCACCTATTGTTTGCTTATTGTAGCACCACAACCTCGTGCCCTGATCCACCATTCCACCTATTGTTTGCTTATTGTAGCACCACGAGGATTCCACCTATTGTTTGCTTATTGTAGCACCACATCCTCGTGCCCTGATCCACCATTCCACCTATTGGTTGCTTATTGTAGCACCATCCGGATTCCACCACCATTGTTTCACTTATTGTTTGTTCACATCCTCGTGCCCCATCGACCATTCCACCTATTGTTTGCTTATTGTAGCACCCCATCTCGCGTGCCTTGATCCACCATTCCACCTATTGTTTGCTTATTGTACAACCACGAGGATTCCACCTATTGTTTGCTTATTGTAGCACCACAACCTCGTGCCCTGATCCACCATTCCACCTATTGTTTGCTTATTGTAGCACCACGAGGATTCCACCTATTGTTTGCTTATTGTAGCACCCCATCTTCGTGCCTTGATCCACCATTCCACCTATTGTTTGCTTATTGTACAACCACGAGGATTCCACCTATTGTTTGCTTATTGTAGCACCACAACCTCGTGCCCTGATCCACCATTCCACCTATTGTTTGCTTATTGTAGCACCACGAGGATTCCACCTATTGTTTGCTTATTGTAGCACCACATCCTCGTGCCCTGATCCACCATTCCACCTATTGGTTGCTTATTGTAGCACCACGAGGATTCCACCTATTGTTTCCTTATTGTAGCACCACATCCTCCTGCTCTGATCCACCATTCCGCCTATTGTTTGCTTATTGTAGCACCCCATCTTCGTGCCTTGATCCACCATTCCACCTATTGTTTGCTTATTGTACAACCACGAGGATTCCACCTATTGTTTGCTTATTGTAGCACCACAACCTCGTGCCCTGATCCACCATTCCACCTATTGTTTGCTTATTGTAGCACCACGAGGATTCCACCTATTGTTTCCTTATTGTAGCACAACATCCTCGTGCCCTGATCCACCATTCCACCTATTGGTTGCTTATTGTAGCACCACGAGGATTCCACCTATTGTTTCCTTATTGTAGCACCACAACCTCGTGCCCTGATCCACCATTCCACCTATTGTTTGCTTATTGTAGCACCACGAGGATTCCACCTATTGTTTGCTTATTGTAGCACCACATCCTCGTGCCCTGATCCACCATTCCACCTATTGGTTGCTTATTGTAGCACCACGAGGATTCCACCTATTGTTTCCTTATTGTACAACCACGAGGATTCCACCTATTGTTTGCTTATTGTAGCACCACAACCTCGTGCCCTGATCCACCATTCCACCTATTGTTTGCTTATTGTAGCACCACGAGGATTCCACCTATTGTTTCCTTATTGTAGCACCACATCCTCGTGCCCTGATCCACCATTCCACCTATTGGTTGCTTATTGTAGCACCACACCCTCGTGCCCTGATTCACCATTCCACCTACTGTTTGCTTATTTTATGGCTGTAGTACCGTGTCCTCGTGTCTCTATGAACCAGTACACTTCTTGTTTTATTGTAGTAATACTGTGTTCTCATGTTTCTGTAAACCAGCACACCTCTTGTTTTATTGTAGAAATACTGTTCTCATGTGTCTGTAAACCAGTACACCTCTTGTTTTATTGTAGTAATACTGTGTTCTCATGTTTCTGTAAACTAATACACCTCTTGTTTTATTGTAGTAATACTGTGTTCTCATGTGTCTGTAAAGCAGTACACCTCTTGTTTTATTGTAGTAATACTGTGTTCTCATGTGTCTGTAAACCAGTACACCTCTTGTTTTATTGTAGTAATACTGTGTTCCCATGTTTCTGTAAACCAGTACACCTCTTGTTTTATTGTAGTAATACTGTGTTCTCATGTGTCTGTAAACTAATACACCTCTTGTTTTATTGTAGTAATACTTTGTTCTCATGCGTCTGTAAACCAGTACACCTCTTGTTTTATTGCTGCAGCACTGTCTCCCTCGTGTCTTAGTGCCGTGACGGCGGTAGTCTGGGAGGACATGCTGAAACCATTCCTGGAAGACAGACTCTCTGAAGGACACAAGACAATAGTGGCTAAAATATTAGGTTGTTTTTCATGATTTCTGTTTTAGTCAAGATCCAGATCCCGTTAGTCGCCTCTTACGACAAGCATGGGTTATTGAAGGTCAATTCTAACCCGGATCTTCACAGGTCCGATTCTGACATGAAGTAACATATGAAATGAAAGAAAGTGAAAAGGAGGGTAATTGCAAGCTTATGGGTGTATCAAAAGTGATTAAGAGTTATCTGATAGAACAATTTGAATACCTACAACCAAAGCTTAGACGTAGCTATCAGCCATGAAGCATAGTTTTCAAACACTTTTGATAATGTTATTTCATCAAATATTTTAGGAGTGTGAAGCTTTGATTGACCATATCATTGAAATTTAGCTCTATTCCTATACTGTATTAAACATTAGACACCATATGAGTTGTTTGGATTTCATATCAGTACAAATTTAGTCCTCCACTAAGTATATGTAGTTAAACTACAATGGCGGCAATTTTGGCTGCCATTTTGAATTCTGGGTAATATGTATACATTCCTAATAACATGCCGTCACTCTAGAAGTAAAGAGAAAACAAAACAACTTGTTTTAGTAGCAAAAATAATGTTAACTGCCATTAAATAAATCACTCTCACACATTTCCATGAAAAGTCGGAGAACTGCAAAAATACCCCTGTCTGAAAGAATAAGCTGTAAAACATTTAATTACCATGCTATGACCATACAAAATGACTTGTTTTGTGCCCAAGCCATCACTCTAGGAGAAATAAGTGTCAAAACACATAAAACATATCAACTTTGGATGTAAATGGAAACATTCAGTGTTCATTTTTATGTAAATTTAAGTGCTGAGAAGGAAAAACACGACAAAACAAAATGGCGGCCATTTTGATTTTTATTTTCATTTCAAAATTATGTCAAATAACTACATCCTTTAGCACTACACAGAAGTCAAAATGAAAGTGATCAGATTGATAGTAGTAAAACTTTAAATGATTAACTTTGAGGTGTTGTCGGGCAGCAAACCAAATGTGACGAAAATGCTCGCAGACCCCCACCACATATAATGTCCTGTAAAAAAACCCTGATACCACAATCTGAGAGTATTACAGGCCTTTTCATGAGCCCAAGACATCATACTAAGTGAAAATAGTGTCAAACAAAATCAGTACTGGGGAGGCTACGATTTGAAATTTTCCAGCTGCCTCCTCCTGGACTAATTTGGGATTGCACTTTCTTAGTAAAGTACAGATTCTAGTACTTTGTTGGGTTGAGTCCCATCCGGGATTCGAACCCACACCTTCAGAGTCAGGCACCTAATCGCCAGAACACAAAGTCAGCCGCCTAACCCGCTCAGCCACCGTGGTCTGTACTTTACTAAGAAAGTTTAATCCAAAATATAGCATGTGTTGTATGTCCCCATTACTGTTTTAGTACTAATATTCGGCGGCGCCGGCACAGCTATGGCTTTTATGGCTAAAAACCTGGGAGGAACAGTGCTTCAGGTTGGTTAACATCGGGACCTTGGGACCAGTGAGCTACATTTAAGTTTCATAAGGTGACCCCATTAATGCAGAAACCTTTCATTTCTGGACATATACTGCTAGAAACATAGATATTCTTGTCAATTACGTGGGCACATTCAAATGATGTGTTAATCCCTGGATAATCAGATCCTGACTTTACTTCATTTAACACCACCATCAGTCCGGACTTGAACAAGATTACACACACTCTCTCACACACACACACAGCAGAGGTGTTGTAAGTCCCCATGGGCCCTACAGTCTGTAGTATGGGGATCTGCCTTCAGTGACTGGCGATCTATAGCCCAGTTTTATATCGCTCTCTGTAGTGATACCATTTTATGACTGCATGCTAGTTTTACATGTACATTTGTGATAGTATAGTTATTTTACTGTCCTTCGTTGATAGATATTTATATTGATCAAGTTTACTTTTATATGGTATTTTCACAGTCACGATATGTCTGAAATACTGCCGATGTGACCTTAAATTTTAACTCATTCACTCACTCACATACATACACGCACGCACATGAACATATGCGTCGCTACACACATACTATTCTCAACAACATTTCTGTGTTATATATACAGGCTGCCCTAAGTTTTGCTGGAGCTGCTACTGGGCCTCTGATGGGGATGTTTGCCCTCGGCGCCTTCTTCCCCTGGGCCAACTGGATTGTGAGTCTCTGAAGCACTTTGAAAATAATTCCTTTGATAAACAACTCATGCCAGAATCCAGCAGCCATTGAATTAAGCTTGAAGATACGTGTCACGGATAGCGTACTCGACCCGTGAACCGGGTTAGATTTGGTCGTTATAACCCATGTTTATCATACGGGGTCGCTATGTTTGTCGTAAGAGCGCTAGCCCAGATAGCATTCAGACGTTGACAATGGTTGTCAACGTCTGGTCGGATTTCATATGTTGGCCCGACGCGAATAACGGGACTCGGTGGTCATACTTAATGATGCATGTCGGGGTATCCTAAGTGCAATGCTGGATAATTCCTGATTTCAATCACTGGATTGTCTGGTCTGATTCTTTACAGACCGCAGCAATTAACGTGAATATTGCTGAGTGTGGTGTTAAACAACAATCACACAAATAAATAAATGAAAGCCTAATGCGGGCTAACTTCCTTCCTTCCTCTAGTACTTAAAATCAAAGGTATGCCGTGAACAAACACGTTTTCATGCAAACATTACGAATGGGAAATGCTACCGGTAGCCCAGAATATATCTACCCTTGACGCATTAGCAGTAGTTGTAGCAGTAGAAGTTGTAGCAGTAGCAGTAGCGGTTGTAGCCATAGTAATAGCTCTAGAAGGAGTAGTAGCTGTAGTAGTAGAGGTAACAGTAGTAGAAGCAGTAGTGGTTTAAGCGTTCGCTCGTCACACCGAATACACCGTTCGATTCCCCACATGGGCACAATGTGTGAAGCCCATTTCTGGTGTCCCCGGCCGCCGTGGCATTGCTAGAATATTGCAAAAACGGCGTAAAACTACACTCACTCACTTCTTCGGTTATTCGGTTTATTGAACAAACCCCAACATATGGTTTGCCAATCAAATGCCACGTCGGACCGTCCCTCATTGGTGTGGTACACTGACACCCACCCACCAGCCCACCTACCCACTCACTCACTCACTCACTCAAGGAACATGACAAATAGAAAGTAGTTCTAACATCGTATGGTATTGCAAAGGGATCGTTGGTATTTTGTGTCAATCTTTACTTTTGTTAAAGCGATATTGTTCTGGTGTTTCAGGGAGCCGTCGTTGGTGGTGTCTGTGGCCTGGCGTTTCCATTGTGGTTAGGCATTGGAGCATACACTGTGGTCGGTAGCCCGCCCGTCCTAGCCTACCCTACCAGCAACTGCAGCTTCAGTAACATCACAACCATCGCCCCATCCACTGCAGCTACAACCTTAATGACAGATGCTACCACACCAATGAGGGACAGTCCAACGTGAGTCGGACAGGCTCTGTGTTGTCAATACAATACATACTTTGCTTATGTGTACGTGGCATTTGATTGGCAAACCATATTTTTGGTTTATGTTTCAATAAACCAAATAACAAATAGGCCACGCCCACGAACGGAATACCGTTTCCTGACTGGCGTAGAAAATAATAGGTGGGGCTTGTGTTGTATTATTGAAGCCACTGAATTAGCGTTGATGTGATTTGTGTGTTAATGATTAAGTGAGCGAGTGATGTAGTCTTGAGTGAGTTTAGTTTGACTCCGCATTTAGCAATATTCCAGTAATATCACCGCGGGGGACACAAGAAATGGGCTTCATACATTGTACCCATGTGTTACGATGTGTGAAGCCCATTTATGGTGTTGGAATATTGGTAAAGGCGGCGTAAAACCATATTCACTCAGGTGCGGTGTGAGGGACCATAGTTCTACACCGCCTTTAGCAATATGACGGCGGAGGACAACAGAAATGGTCTTTACAATCTTTTCCCATTTTGAGATCTGAGCTCGGACATTCGGCGTGACGAGCGAACCCGTTAACCACTAGGCTATCTATTCCAGGAGCGGTCTGACTGTGCTGTACTCTATCTCCTACCTGTGGTACACACCTATTGGTACAGCAACTGTCATCATAGTAGGGCTGTTGGTCAGCGTTCTTACAGGTGGGTACCTCACGCTGTCCACTTAGAGACGGGGAGCCGGGGAATGTGAGAATGGAAAATCGAATCACACTGACGGTCTAATCGGGATGATATTACAGCACTTCGAGCAAACGTAGTAGTAGTAGTAGTAGTAGTAGTAGTAGTAGTAGTAGTAGTAGTAGGAGTAGAAGTAGTAGTAGTAGAGTAATAGTAGTAGTAGTAATGGTGGTAGTAGTAGTAGAAGTAGTAGTAGTAGTAGGAGTAGAGTGAGTGAGTGAGTTTAGTTTTACGCCACACTCAGCAATATTCCAGCTATATGGCGGCGGTCTGTAAATAATCGAGTCTGGACCAGACAATCCAGTGATCACAGCATGAGCATCGATCTGCGCAATGGGGAACCGATGACATGTGTCAACCAAGTCAGCGAAACTGACCACCCGATCCCGTTAGTCGCCTCTTACGACAAGATAGTCGCCTTCTTATGGCAAGCACATGGGTTGCTGAAGACCTATTCTACCCCGGATCTTCACGGGCCTAGTAGGAGTAGAAGTAGTAGTAGTAGAAATAGTAGCAGTAGTAATGGTGGTAGTAGAAGTAGTAGTAGGAGTAGTAGTAGTAGTAGAAATAGTAGTAATAGTAATGGTGGTAGTAGTAGTAGAAGTAGTAGTAGTATTGGGAGTAGAAGTAGTAGTAGTCGTAGAAATAGTAGTAGTAGTAGACTGACTGACTGAGTTTGGTTTTACGCCGCTTTTAGCAATATTCCAGCAATATCACAGCGGGGGACACCAGAAATGGGCTTCACTCATTGTACCCATGTGGGGATTCGAACCCGGGTCTTCGGCGTGACGAGCCAACGCTTTAACCACTAAACTACCCCACCGCCCCAGTAGTAGTAGAAATAGTAGTAGTAGTAGTAGTAGTAGTAGTAGAAGTAGTAGTAGTAGAAATAGTAGTTGTAGTAATGGTGATAGTAGTAGTAGATGTAGTAGTAATGGTAGTAGTAGTAGTAGATGTAGTAGTAGAAATAGTAGTAGTAGTAGTAGTAGTAGCAATAGTAGTAGTAAGCATTATGATAAGTTTAATGACAAGCATCGATCTACGCAATCGGGATACAATGACATGTGTCAACCCAGTCAGCGAGCCTGACCACTCGATCCTGTTAGGCGCCTCTTACGACATCCATGGGTTGCTGAAGATCAATTCTATCTTGTGGCAGTACTAGTTGTAGCTATAAACTCCCATAATTCACAAAGTAATTTCTCCTTTTTCACCGGTAACAGGCATGAACCGTGTGGGTGACGTGGACACCAAGTACATGGTGCCTTTCTTCGACCGTCTCATTTGCTGTCTCCCTTCATCGATCAGCCGAGTCCTCCGGTGTAATCAGGAGTTTGACAGTCCCGAGGTAAGTCATTACTGAGGTTGCTGTGGAAACCGTTGTTGATGACGTAGGCCTGAATTTCCATCCTTTTCAGCATATATTCCAACCGCTTGATTGCGTCCTTTAATTGCTAACGAAGGACACAATGGCGTATTGTCCAGTCTAGAATCCACATATCCTGGCGTCACCTAAACATGTTTGGTTTCTCAAGGAAACTTGAACTTGAACATGAATACACAATGTCATTTAGAAAGTTTCATCCCAAACATAACATATGTTACACTGAACGTGAACAGTTCTGACCAAACTGGTTACAAGAGTTCAGGTTCGGGTTTAATTATGGTGGTGAAATGGTACGAAATCCAGCTCAAAATAAGACTGGTACCAGTTAACTTCAGCAAATTCCAACTAGATTCAAACTTGATGCCAACAGATAATTCTGTCAAAATGGGTTTAGACAGCTCACATATTTACGACGACTGCAAATGGTGTCAGCAGCAGATACATATGCAAATACATAGTGAGTTGATCGCTGCCCCGAGGTATTTCTGAGTTTATTTATTTACACAGCTGCTCTGCTCGTTGACACTCTCTCCTTATATTTACATCGCAGGTACTGTGTGCTCAAGCGAAAGAATTACTGTCAGTAGAACAAAAGATTCAACACAAGATGGCTGACCACAACTCTCTTGACACGAGACTTTGATTGAAAAGAGCCGAGAGTTTACAGTGAGGATAACACACCCTGGTTCTCACAGCATTTGGATAGAAAGCGATAGCCACAAATACACATAGGGATATCCCATCCCGGATTATTAAACGATCCAGTTAACAAATCCCGGTGAGGATTAAAGTTTCCTTATTATACTCAATCTCTCATAAATATTGTCACCATTTGGCTATATGCCTCTTGACATAGGGGTATCATTGTTTATGATATACCCCTGAAATATGAATCAGCTTATTATATATTTCTACTAAATATTAACATTTGTATCACTCCTATTTTGTGCAAATAATCTGAAATACGTTTGTTATACGTTTATATATATACCTATATATTTGGTCACAATAACAAAAGGAAAAGCTGTTTTCCAAAAGCCATTTAGTGCGCACACAGACACATACACGCACGCAGACATACACACACAAACATGCATACATGCATACATACACACACACACACACACACACACACACACACACACACACACACACACACACACACACACACACACTGCATACCTACTGCATACACTGATGCCGTTTGATATATCGTTTTACTAATCATCTGCCACGCAGTAGAGATCTGGGCCGCCTCTGTCCGCCATGAATGATCACAATGATATCGAAATAATGTTGAAATAATGCCCAATACGCCATTCCTCAGCCTTCTCAGGTAAATCTGATTCTTTGGAAAGATTGGTGGAACTAATGGAGAGTGAGTGTGTTTGTAGCAATATTCCAGCAATATTCCAGCAATATCACGGCGGGGGACACCAGAAATGGTCTTCACGCTTTGTAGCCATGTGGGGAATCGAACCTGGGTCTTCGGCGCGACGAGCGAACGCTTTGACCACTAGATTACCCCACCATCAATGAACGAATGGGGATGATATATTCAATCACGTGGACACTTCCCCTATCCGATAGCACTTCCGACCCTTAAACGTTCAGAAGCTCCCACCTTCCCAGGACAGGACTCGTACTGTGTCCAAGACAACAAGTACCATTAATCATGTATCTATAGAGAAAACGAAGCGATCGTATGTTTAACAAAAATGTTTAAAGGGTGGTAAAGAGTTGAAGTTAAAAAGGGAGGTAGTACAGGTTGAACACATTTGAACCTTTCTGAACAATTATGAACACTGCAATTTATCTGTATCTTTCCGCAAACGATGTAATATATTTCCATTGAATAAAAGACATGAATGTGTGTAACCCTTGACCAGCTTGTGGTCATTCAATAAACCGACCTAGTTTTAACTGTT